CAGGAATCCTTAGAGAGCCATATGCGAGTGCAGGCTGCAGCCTTGGATAGCTTCAGTGAAATGAACAGCAGCTTGACATCTGCATCAATCGAGCTGCAGGTACACTGTTAATAGCTCTGTTGCAGTATGTAGCCTGATCTGTTGGGCTCCTTCTAGTGTCCATTGTTTTAAAAGTATCCATATGCAGATGTTAATCAATTCCAGTAAATATCACTGTTGGTGCTTAAGATGATAATACTGTGAATTTAGGAAAACCCAGAAGTTTTGTTGGCTTAAAAAATCTAATAAAATAATATGCAGCAAAGCATTGCTCAGCTTCATTGTTACTTAGCTAAAGTTCCTGGCCTTTGCATTATGGAAAACCCCAGGTGCTATTTTTGCAAAATAACAGCCCATCTCCTGTTCTTATTCTTCTATTTTACTCTTGGATAGAAATTTTGGTTACATTTTTTGCAAGTATTAAAAAAGCTGTATTTACCCCAAAATAAGACAACCTTGAATTTAAGATGCCCTCCCAATAATTAGATCTTACACATGGAAAAATTATAATTTTATTATAAATATCCAGGTGTGGAATCTAATTATTGGAGGATCATCTTAAATTCACCCTCCCCCACCACCACTACTGCAGGCAGTGGAGGAAGAGAGGTGACAATGGGGGTAGTAATGGGGCAGGTGGTGGGGGGACACAATGGGGGAGGCAGTAGAGGTGCTAGGGCAGGTAATAGCAGACAGGCAGTGTGGAGGCAGTGTGGCAGGCAGTGAGAGAGGCAGGCAGTTTGCCCTTGTGCCTGCCCTCCCTGCAGCCTCAGGCTGCCCTGATCCCCTTTCCCCTTGTAGGTTTGGGTCCCTGCCCCACAAAGTCTCTGCCTCCCACCTGTCCCTCTTTTCTTCCCCCCCATCCCCGCTTTGCTCTACACCAGGAGGCTCTGTCCCTGCTGCAGCTGAGGTCACAGAGCCTGGCTCCATAGCAGTCATGGAACTGGTAGTGCTGTTACAGGGCCGGGCTGGCGCATGTGAAAGGTGTGGAGGAGGGGGAACTAGGAGTGGTGTCGTGTGGGGCTGGAAACTAGGGGCTGTGGGGGGAGGAGTGGCTGGGCATGCAGAGGCAATGGGGGCAGGTGGCAGCTAGATCTCCTAACCCCTGCCACCCACTGCCTCATGCTTAATTGTAAGGTGAGGGTCTTTTTTCCCCGTGTTAAATTGAGGGGAGCACCTCATCTTCTAATCAAGTAAATGCAGTATTTGGCAGCCAGATTTGTAAACCAGGGGTATTTTTTCCAGTTCAAATAAAACAAAAAACATTTTCAATTTGATAGCCATCCTACCAAGGCAGCTTGACTCTTCTGTCCTCCCATTCATCCCCTTTTTTCTGTTTCTAACTTCAGTTTGCTCAAATTTTATTAATTTAAGATTTGATAGCTGGAGATGAGGGGAGGGGAGAATTCAGCATTTCACATCATTTTACCTTACAATGTAAAATGAAAGCAAATTTGCTTTGTAGTGCATGTGAAACTTCCTCTTAGTTATGGCACCTTAGGGCTGGATTTTAATGAGCATGTTCATTAATGGGGCAGTCTCTTTAATAAATCACATAATTGGAAACCAAACTTTAAAGGGTTAATACTATTATATAATATATATATCTCAAAAGATTAGTAAACTGTTGCAAAGAGGCTCAATACTAGATAGTTTGGATGAATTCCAGTTTATCATGTATTTCAATGTGTGTTTTGGTTTTCCTTTTTCTTTTTTGTTTGTTTTAAAGAAAACTTTAGTGGATGTTACTTTGGAGAACACGGACATAAAGGATCAAATAAGGAATTTAAAACACACACATGAGAAATCTATGGAAAAACTGAAAGACAAGCAAAAACAGCTGGAAACTGCTCAGATGGAAAATCAGCTATTGAAACTGCAGGTATGGTATGCAAATTGCCCTTTTTGAGGTTGTACAATAAGGATATTGCTGAGGCAATGAGATTTGTGTGGAAAAGAGATCTAGCCATACCTGCATAGAATTCTTCACTGATCAGTGCATGGTCCTTTCACCCTTGTTCATGCAAAGAACTTAGATCCATGGTGAAGAATTAACATTGCTGAAAGCGAATAAACAAATAGGGAACCACCTTAGCAAACTTGGGTTTTGAAATGCTGCCTGCCCTACATAAGGCTGTTGTTGGCAAGTGAGAGGTCGACCTATTAAAATGGTGATGCCTGTGGTGTGCACTTCTGTGAGAACCTTCTAATTCAAGGCCAGGGCTGGTGAGGGATTGGGGGTTGCATGCTATGCAGGCTACCACCCATTCATATTCTCTCTGCCTCTCCTGGACCATGCACCTGGAATTGCCCCTCCAACTCTCCCCTGCTGCACTGCATGCACAAGCAGCTGTTGCACTGTGTGGGTGATGCCTCCCCATATACTGTGCACTTGGTTGCCTCCCACCCTGGCCACTACAGCACCCTTATTGCCTTGTGCTGTGAGCTTCTCCAGCGCTGCAGTCTGTGGCAATCTGTCCCCTGGGTTGGGAGCAGGAAGTAAAAGCTGAGGGAGGAGAGGGAGTATGGAGCCCCCAGTTGCAGAAGCAGCTGGAGCAGTAAGAGGATCCCAAGGGCTGTGCATTAACCCCTCATGGGCTGCATGCGGCTGTGCATGATCCCAGGGGCTGTGCATTAACCCCTCATGGGCTGCTAAGCAATGCTATATGTCCCTCTTAAAGCTGATACTGTGTTTCATACTGTACACTGAGTAGTTTTTCATCAATAATCTGCTATATTTCATGCATGTATGCTATATTTATTGGTCAGCGGAGATCTGCCCTCACAGCATATTACCTTGAAAAGAGAAATTAGTTGTAGGACCTGGTTTTCAAATGAGCACAAAGGAATAAAATACAAACATGTTATTATGGGTCTTTTGTGAGACCACTAGTCTTGTACTTGTTAGTTTCCATAAAGTATGAATAGAACCATTTAAAGGTGCCTGAAATTAACTGGAACAATATGAAAAGCATAC